ACCAGCCTAGACCTACCCTCTAAATAGTTCCCCATTACTCTCACTAAACAGCAGAAACGAGCTCCTAGACAGTTAACTAAACGCTTGTTTGCGTTATGATATCCTAGGCAGAGACTTAGCTTAAGAGCAGTCTGTGAAAAAACCTACAAGCTTAGGCTACGCGACTAAAGTACTTTAGGAAAGCAACTATACAAGAGGCCTTAGAGTTGTAATAGAGGAAAACGCTTTTCTAAGATGAGGCTCAGACGCTCAGACCTTAGAGAAGAACCCTACTTTTCAGTTAGACCCCACTAATCATCTTATTATATACTTAGCCGCTCACTCATCTAATGAGTGAACGCCTAGGGGGTGTGTCACACAATCAAGCACCTTAATTAAGGGTGTGGAGCTTGCTGGCCTAGATAAACCAGGACAAGCACCTCTAGGTCTAAACCAGAAGCTCGTTTCATCCGTTCTTTGTTAACAAGCTACTAGATAATTGGCTAACTGCTCGCTTATCTCAGATCATGTGATCCACACATATTTCCTATGTATATAAACCTTACTTTCGTGATAGGATAGATAGCCACTGATCAAATACTTTCGATCACCTGAGTATAGTCCCACAGGCTCCGTGACAAAAGGTTAACTACTAAAAGGCCTTTAAGGTATTAGGGCTTATTCCTACTAACATGTAGGTAGTGTTAGATTGCCTTAAAGTGCAGCTGCATACCCTACTAGCAGTACCTCTACCTAGGCTGGCGGAATGGGTATACTCCAACGTCCTTTGTGGGTACCCCCCAAAACCTTATCAATAATACATAGATTCTAGCAAACTAGGGCTGAAAAGAAAGAGAAAAACCACCTCTATATTTTTATAGTAGAAGGTTTTGTTATAACTATTAAACTGTATAAGCTAGAGGCTAGAAAATATTAAAAAAGGGGGGGTACCTAGCAAGCATACCTATTAATAGGTATACTTTGCTAGGTAGTGTTAATAACTTAGCTAATACTAGGCAGAATAAGCTAATTCTTTTTTTATTAGAAGGCGCAATACTAGGCGCTTCTATTAAATAATAGATTATGTAAGCGTATCTCTGCTAGTTAAGAAGCTATAAGCCAAAACGTAAAAAAGCATACCCTACCCATCCGCCAGCCTAGTAAGGACTCTAGTATCTTTATAAGAAACTAGTAGTATATTAAGCACCTGTAATAGTAAAATAGTAGATATAAGACCTACTGTAAGCATTACTAGTAGGCATTCTATTTATAGGCTTTACCTTTACTAGTCCTTAAATCTCTAAGAGAGAGACTAGTATATTTACTCTCTTTAGTAAATATTACCTCTATAAGCCCTTAAAAGAGGACGCTTTAAAGAAAAGACTAACTAGCCTATTTACAAGATGCTATAGTCTATTAAGCTCCCTAAGCTTAAAGGTAGTCTTAACTACAACATCTAGGCTATTAGAATAGAGGCTATTATAGTAGAAAAAGGATATCTAAGTTATATAATTAATAATCCTGCTACTATAGTAGATAATACTAAGACCCTAGACAAAAATGCCTATAAGACAATAGCTTTAATTAAACTAGCCTTAGAGGATAGCCCTCTACTGCAAACTAGGTTTATAAGCAATCTATATATTCTTTAGAATAAACTTAAAAATCTATACAAGGCTAAAGGATTTAGTAGTAAGTTCCTACTATCTAAGGAGCTAATAAACACTACTCTTAATAGCTATAAAGGTAATCTAGAAGAGTATATTAACTCTTTTAGAAGAGTTATTAATAATTAAGAGTCTAGAGGTATTAGTCTACTAAATAGATTTATTGTTACTCTCCTACTTAATAATCTAAGTAAGGAATATAAGTATATAGTAACTGTTATTACGCAGTCTATTAGAACTTCTAATACTATAAACTTAGAAGAGATAGTAATGCAGTTACTAGATAAGTCTAGAAGAATTAGGTCTTTTAAAACTAACGTACTTGACGGGTGAGTCGCCCATATAGGTGAGTCGCCCACTCTGCCAAGACCCCACCAAAACTCTACTCTATTTTGGCCCGCAACACCCCATTATGGGCCTGCAAATGGTAATTTAATGTGTTACAGTATAGAAGAGCTATCTACAATCTCTTTTAACATGTACGTGAGTTGTGCCCTATCTCCTAGCACTATTTACAGCGTCTTATAGTCTATTAACCTTTATTAGTGTGCACTGTCTTCTTTACACATTTACTATTACTACGCGCTGCAAACTCCTCTAGAGTAGTTAACTGTACCCCCTCTTTAACTATTAGAGTCCCCTCCTGCTATAAATGCTTTCTTTTATGTAACTTACGTTGTGTTGCAGCCTTATTGGCATCTTGAAGCTCAGAAACCTGCTTGCGCACTAACACTAGCGAATGCGCCATCATCTCAGCGCCTTTTGAGAGCTTTTCTAGCGCATTTATAATAGAGGAAGGCGAGCTATCTGTATGCTTTTAAATCTTCTCTTAAACTAGCTTTGATTGAGACCCAAATTCTAGCGTGTTCTAGGGTGTACAGGACTGCTAGGGCTTATTAGAGACAGGAAGTAGTGATAGGGTGCGCAGTTGAACGTCAAGGCCTATTATAACCTGTTCTGGGTTAAATAGAACTAATCCAGCGCCTCTAAACCCTCCCTAGATATTACTTAGGGTTATTGCTGTATTGTACGCACGTTTAAAGCATGGCAGGAACTTAAGTTTTAAGATGTGGGTGATCTAGTTGTGCATAAGATCTTTAGCTTAGCACCTATACACCTTCTTTAACAGCGCAAAACAACCTACATCAAGTGGCTATAGGAGGTGTGATGAGTGTAGAGGCATATAGAGTGTGATAATCTTCCTCTCCTTGCAGTATTGTTAGAATTAGAGGGAGGTATGGCTCTTATAGCCATCAATAATCAGCAGTCAGTACCCTCCTACAGCACGCCTCCCTGTATGGGCTTCAAAGTGCTGTAGCCACTAGAATCCAAGCTCATTTGTGGTCCAGCCGTTCTTAGAGACTGCAATAACCTAGTTATGGGGTATTATATCCTCTTTGTACTAGGCAGAGAGGTAGTTGCAGCCTTAAAAGATAATGAAGGGTGGAATAGCCCATCCTGTACTATTTACGCCCTAGATAGCTGTTGTCCACTCCTAATTGCCCTGCTAGACTGCCTTCGGCCGCCCTTGACGCTCTGAGCCTATAACAACTGCTCCTGTTAATATCTAGCCTATTATAAACCTAGTCTTATTAAAGTTATACATGTCTTGGTCCTGGATGCTATACTTGGCTTTAGTATTCTCTACAAGGCGGAACTAGCCTTTTATAATCTCTAGATCCTCACAGAGGGCTCGCTTGTAGTTGTACTTGCGATTAAACCTTACTTGGAGCTTAGGGCGGCGCTTAACAAACGTGTTAGGCCATTTTATGCCAACATAGCCTAGATTACGCTCTTTGCGCAAAGAATTGGCTATATCAGCCACTGCAGCTAGCTGCAGTGCAAACCCTCTCGCGTCTAGGTTAAGTATATACTAAACAATCACCTCCTCCTTGTTCTTGTCTAGGTTCCTTAATTTAGGCATATAATCTGCTTGTGCAGGTTATCTAGCGTGTTGATCGCGTAGTGTTCTGTATAGCGCGTTATAGAGGGCTGCAGCGCGTTGTAGAGAGAGTGTTGCGTCTTTTTTAATAGCCTAAAGCGTAAGCTGTATTCTAGCTTCCTTTAAAGGTCCTAATTCGCGTTGTTGTTGTGGCATTGTGTGAGAGGGTTGAGTTTTGGTGGGGTCTTGGCAGAGTGGGCGACTCACCCATAGGCTGGCGGATGGGTAGGGTAGGGTAGGGTATAGGTATAGTCACGTGATTTATGGGTAGGAACTAGGTAGGGTACATGAGGTACCCTACCCAAACGGTTTGGGTAGGGTAGCACGTGACTGGGTATAGGTATAGGTAGGGTAGCACGTGACTAGGTATAGGTATAGGTAGGGTAGCTAGGTAGGGTCTAGGAATGGGTAGTTATTAGCAAAATCTAGGTTACTACTCTAGACTTTGTACTATTGTATAC